CATATTTAATGTTTAATGGATTGCATAAATGTGAAGAACTTGATTAGTGCCAAAGTATATAACAAATATTCTTGAGTATAAAAACGTCATAAATGTTGTTATATGAGAGATCTATTTTTAGCAATACAAATTCTTTTATTCTTCAATACTTATAATGCTGCAAATTAATGCAGTTTAATGAAGAAGAAAAATACGAAAAGACTAATTGTAACTATAAGATGAATGATTTTAGATAACATAATAGCTTGCATATGATTGTAAATAATGTATTAGACAATTATTAAAAATAGTAGAGAAAATAATATTAGTATAATTAAAAATGTTTTCCTTGATTTTTTATTATTATTGTATTACTAAAGATAAAACTGATATATACTATTCTAAAAATTAATACAAAGTATTCAAAACAGCAATATTTCCAATGTTATATAAATATAATCTAATCTAGTCTGAGAGTTTTATTTTCAGAATAATCTTATATTTACAATCTATATATCACATATGCCACAAAATATAACTAGTCACGCAAAAAGTAATTCTTTATAAAAGAGATAAAAATGTTTTCCAATATTTTAGTGTGCGCGCGGCAATAATAACAATCCAAAGTTAAAATTAAAATGTTGACATTAACTTTAATTGCGTCTCCAAAATGTAAATGTTAAAACTTGCATAATCAGTGATACAAACTATGTGTAGTAATAATGACACATTGCGTGACTCCCATTTCTTAATGTGCACTTTGTAATTAATAAGGTTGATGTCTTCGTAGGATATATTCGTCATGAGAAAACAAACCATTAAGGAGATGCTGAACTGACGAGCGAACTCCGACGAAAACGTTTATCATATACACATCTAAATATACATAGATACATTCATATATACATACATACATTCATACATTTTGTACACACATGATACACATATAAACAAATTTTTGTGATACTCCCTTGATCGTAATAAGTGTCTAAGCCTAATTCTAAGAACTCAATATTGCTTCTTCATGTAATCTTCTAGTCTAGCAATATCAGTTTTGTAGGTACAGGCTGTAAAATTTTTATATAAAGCAAATATTTACGCGACTTGACAGCTTTGGATGCCATTTTAAGGTACCAAATGATAAAAAAGATCTAAATTCTAAAATTTTTTTCTCGTTCTTGATACGAAATTTATATGCTAAACACATATTAATACATAAACTTTAATTGTGGAAAAGGATTTCCAGATGTATAAAATTAATAAAAAAATGAGAGCAATACAAAAATTACTGCATTTTGTCGGTAATACAGACAAGTTCAGCATCGCCTTAAGATCATATCGTGTGTGTGTGTGTGTGTGCGTGTGTGTGTGCGTGTGCGTGGCGCGCGCGCGTATGATGTGTGTCGTATGTGTGTACGTACGTATGTATTCACGTTGTGTGTGTTGAGGGGGGGGGCGATATATATAATGTATATGCGTACGTGCGTGCGCGCGCGCGCGCAAAAGCGCATACTGTCACTTTTATGAGATTCATCACATTGCATCTGTTATTTTTTAAAATTTTTTACAAGCTTACTTGGTAGCTGATTAACTTTTTTTATAAAATTACATTCAGGAATAATGCATATAGGACATGAAAACAGCAATAATTCTTATATAGTAAGACAAATCTTTATTCTTTCAAATCTCACATTATTAAAACTATATGACTAATGTAACACATATTTCAAAGTATTAAGTCGTGCTATATGTTAAAGATATGAGAGGGCTGTTGTTAAAAGAATTATATTGTAATGTAAATCAATATGATAGTTCCTTGACTATATTAACATTATTATAAGAATATGTAAGTTGTAAAGCTTTAAAGATATGAATACAAGATATATAGTAAAACAAAAGTGTTATACAAAAAAAGTGCAACTTATGCATAAAAAAGTATTTACAGTATTTTATCAGAAAAATATTCTATTAATTTTAGTCCATACATTATTCTATATATAATTGATAAAAAGATATTACAATTTATTTAATTATATTTATTAATAGGGCAATATGAGAGCACTATATTTTTTAAAATCTTACAATGAATCTTTTTATTTAAAATTAGAAATGTTTTTTTGTTTTGATGATAAAATAGAAAAGTGATTTTATTAAATTGAAATTATATATGAGTTATATTTCAATATATTTCAGCACCGTCCATTTGGAAAATTTTATTGTGAAATCTCACAAATATCTACATCCTATTTATGATCAAATTAAATCGCAGTATTTCATATTATCCTATTAAAAATAAGAAAAAGCGAGAGAAATTAGTCTAGTATTATAAAATATTAGAATACATTATTTTGTCATGTAATGACACAAATTATCAATAAATATTATACGAAATTGTTATTGAAAGATATGTTCCACCCTTGGAATTGATGAGTTAACCTAAAGTTCTTTAAATAATCATACGTGTGTGTATGTATGTGTGCGCGCGCACTCACCACACACACACACACACACACACACACACACACACACACACCTATACACACATACTAGTAATAAA